TCAGATATTGACTACAATACTTGAAAACAGCACAATATCGCCACCTGGTGGATAGTGCATTTAAAACAATTTTGAAGATAGTGTATGCCCTATTTATCTTTCGGGGGGAAAAACCGTTTCAAAAAGAAGCACGTTCTCTCCACTAACGTAAGGGAAATTAAAATGATAGGAAACAAGTTAAATACTATATTAGCAGTACTCTCAAACACTATAGCAAAAAATACATTCTAAGTTGTGTTTCTCAAATTCATTTCAAAAACAAGGTTAACAGTTTCTGTTCAGGAATGTAAAGTATATTAGACAGCATGCAAATTACCAACTATTTCACAATGACTTACCAATTAATGCAAAAAAAAAATAGCCATAACAAACTTATAAATTTCAAACCATAGGATTTTGAGGCCTCTTAAGAAACCCATTTATTCTACCTACTATCTGAACTTCTTCTGAAGCATCCCCAATGAACAGTAAGTAATCTTGCCTCCATTGAGCAAGGAATCTTAATTTTCTCTGGGTCCATTTCCCCGCAGAGACCAAACAATTGGAGAAAGTGTGTTTTTTCATGAGTTGAAATCTGCTGGTCCTTGATTTATACTTCAGGGAATACAAAATATTCCAATTCTTCTTCCAAATAATTATTCAATTATGAAAGGTTATCAAGGTACAGGACCCCAGCTTCTCCAAGTTAAACATCCCATATATTTATTCTTTTAGCCATTTCTCTTGCAACATCTGTTCATGATTCTGTTCATGCTTCTTTCAAGTTTCTAGCACTTCTAAAAATGACTACAACCACTGTAAAAATAATATGCAGTGGTCAGGCTAATGCAGAATAAAGATAATCACCTTTCTCTCCATATTCTCCTTCTCTTAATGAAAAACTTTCAGTGAGGACAGAGGGCAGTCAAAAAGTCCTAGGAATCAGACCAACCTATGATCTTAAGTGACAGCATTGGGTTCTGCAAGTTTCCTCATCTGCTTGATCTTTAGTTTCTCCAGCAAACAGAAGTCAACATCTGCCTCGTAAGATTTTAAGACCAAACATGGCAGTAATTGTAAATCAGCCAGTAGTAAAATTACCTCCACTGCAGGTATTCTATGAATGACAGCAATTATTTTGGATGTCACACACACACACACACACACACACACACACACACACACACACACACACGGTTCAACTGATGTTTCCTAATCAGTGTGAAAAATCAATGAAGTATTTAATATTTTGTCATTAGGAAAATACTGTATTTCTTTTGGTCTGATGGTGATATGTTGAGTTCAAGTTAACACTAAATTCATCAAATGCTCATTTTTTATAAAGTGCAACATATTATTGGATGACTTCATTGTGGCAAAATTTCTTACCCTAGAAATGTTTTCCAAAGATCAAAGAATTTAGTGCTGGATTCATGGATGTTTTTTTCAAGATATAACTTCAATATAACCCTTTTTATTATAATTTTCTCAGGTATACAAGTTCTAATATATTAAATATGTTTGGTCAACATTTTAATACATAAAAATATCCTAAATAAAAGATAACAAGTATCCTTAAAGTAGTAAGATTCAGCCTAAAACACAAAATATTTAAATTGGTTAAAAATTCTTTTCCTTAAAAATCTAATAACCATCAATTCTATTTTAATGGTCGGAAGTTACTTTCCTGATTTTAAACAGCAATAATTTTAAAATCACATCCTATTATAAACATAAGTAAATATATGTGTAAATATTAAACACTATCGTAAATAAAAAATTTTAAACTAGATTAGAAAATTTAGGCAAAGTTTAGGACAGCTCTATGAAATGTGATTTATTCCCTAAAAGTAGCTAATGATTATACAGTAAATTTTTTCTAGGATATTCACTTCTTCCTATATTAGAAACTTTATTCAGTATCCATTTACTCAATATTTATTGTATAACTTATTAACTTTTTGGATATGAGGCAGGGGCTAAATTCTTTTTGAAATAAGGCTAGCCATGTCCCAGGCACTTAACAGTTAAGACAAACACTATACTCATTTGAAATGAGAACCAAAGATTAAACCATTTGCCTTATTGATTCCAAAGCCAAAATCAAATATAGAAAGTCCTGCCATGTTAAATGCTTTTTCTACAAGCCCATTATTCCTGTCATATGTACATTTCTGTTACAAAAAACTTTTTTCATGTTATTTGCATAATGTTTCACTTTTTAATGAAATGCTGATTGCTTTAAAGATATGAAATGCTCTCTAACTTAATGAACATGAACTTAATTTTTTATATGAACATTTTATTGAGAAGTGAGTCTACATAGATACAGAGAACATTTTGACAGTTGCCAGAGGGAGAGGGTTTGGGGGAATGGGTGAAAAAGGCAAGGGAGTAAACTGTACATATTGGTAGTTACAGAATAGTCACAGGGATGTAAAGTACAGCATATGGAGTATAGCCAATATTACAGTAACTATGTATGGTACCAAGTGGGTACTAGATTTATCAGGGCGACCACTTCGTAAGTTATGTAAATGTCTAATCATGGAGTTGTACACCTAAAATTATAATATTGCAATCAACTGTAATTTAAAAATTTAAAAAATAAAGTGCACCTAATATAATAGTCTCCTATTTAGGGCGTATAAATAAAAATTGAGGCTCTCTTTTTCTTTTTGTGTCTTCAATTACAAAGAAAAAAATCTAAAGTGGCAGTTCAACTGCCATTGGAGTCAGGCCCAGTGTCAGTTAAACTCAAACTAGAAATGCACTACAGTGTGCTACTTGTTAGACATCAACGGCATGACACTTTATATTAAAGTACTTTATGACAGACTAAGCACATTCCAGAAAAATTTCCTTTAAGAAAAAGAGGAAGTGGCCAGAGCGCTAACAAAATAATTTCTCTTGCCAATGACATGCTATGTTTAATCTCAGGAACACTACATTTCCAAGTAACTTAAACACACAGTCAGATGCATTAGAAAATATTTCTGGGCACCCACTAAGAGAAAACATAAATAATATGTGAGAAAATACAGCATACTCGAACTTTACTAATGCTATATAAAGATAATATATACACTATATCTATGAAATTTGACATAAGGGAAAAAAAGTTCACACAGATTTATTGTTGAACCTAAACATGTATGGACTAAATCCTTTTGACATCCTTTAATACAATCCTGCTTACAGACTTTAATATCAATAATTGCAAGGCTCCACAGGCTCTCTAGCTTATCAATACCTTTTTCATAATCACCTTTTAATCAAGAAATTAAGTCTAATTTTTTTAAAACTTCACATAGAAAATATCTATTTGATAACTTTTAAAATGTTTAAAACACACAAAGATCACTTAGGATGTGTCTCAAAGCAATGCGCTATAGCACCTTGTAATTCATAGTATTCTTTTCAAAAATGTTAAGTACTGTATTTTATGTACTTTATAGAAAACATCTAATATTAATCTATTTTCTCTGAATGCAGATTTTTCTCCAAAACACCTAACATAACAGGAACTTAAAAATTAACTGAAAGTCCTAGCCAGGTAGGCAACCCACCCATGTCTCTCTCCCCATCGCGCCCCCTCGCCCCCTGACCCTTCTCCTTTCCTCTCTCCCTCTGAAAATACACCCTCAGGTAAGGATAAAAAAATATTTAACTGGAACAGTGCTTCCCCGAGTCTAAGGGGTGGAATGGTTTTCCCATTTTTGCCAGACTAGAGAGGAAAAGTTTTGCCACCTCAGATATATTCCTAAACAGATACTTTTATATATAGTATCAGATGAGAAAGCTGTTTTTCCTAAATTACCCATTTTTTCCCCCCAATTTTAACTTCCTGGAATTCAGGTTGCCATTATAAATAATAATTTCTTTGAGTGGGCTTTCTTGTCAAATTTTTTAAAAAAAGTTTGGGTATAAATATTTGTCCTATAATCGCTGTTATAACTAAAAAGTCAATCTACTTTCTAAGTACTGAGTAGAATACAACAAAAGATTACTCTGTATTTATTACTCAACCATATTTGTAATTTTCACCTGTAACACAATTTTATATTTGCAAATGCAGAATACTTTTCAATTCCACTCATTATTTAAAACCCAGAGAAAACATTATTCAATATCTAAGACAAAGTCACTTGTTAGCACAGCTATTTTTACAAGTTTACAAACATAAGATGAGGTTCAAACATGAATTCTATTCACAGTTTTAAGTTTACATGTCAAAGTTAACATGTCCAAATAGTACTTTTCTGTAGAATGACAACCCAATGAATATACTCAAAATAGACACAGAATCCAAAACCAACACACAAAAATCCTCCCCAAAATGTTCCCTAATCTACAAAATAAGACTAGATCAAATGATTTCTAAACTTCCTTTCAATTCTAACTTTTTTTGTACAATGGAATCAAATACCAGTTGTCTTTAGTTTTGTATTTATGTGACCTTGAAAGTCAAGTTGTTTTAACCTCAGTGAAGATAAAACTTCATTTAAACTATCTCAGCAAAGTTATCTCCTACACCTTTATTAAATTTATCCTAAAATCTCCTTTGGTAACTTTAGTGGGTTGAAAAGTGTCCCACGAAAAGGTATGTCTCCCTGGAATCTGTAAACTTGACCTTATTTGGAAAAAGGGTCTCTGTAGGTATTACTGAGTTAATGTTGTTATGCGACCACCCCAGATTAGGGTGAGCCTTAAATCTAATGACACTGTCCTTGTAACATAAAGAGAAGACAGACGGATCTTTCTAAAGACAAGGGCAGAGAGACTGGAATGAAGCATCTATTAACCACGGCCCAGCAAGGGCCACAGACAGCTTCCAGAAGCTAGAAGAGAGGCATGGAACTGACTCTCCCTCACGGCTCCAGGAGGAACCAAGCCTGCCAACACCATAATTTTAGATTTATGGCCCCGAAACTGTGAGAGAAAGTTTTTTAAGCCACGAAGTTTGTGGCAATTTGTTATGGCAGCCAAAGAAAACTAATACAGTGACTTATTAAAAAAAAAAAAAAATCTCTTTTGAAAGTCATTATCATCAACACAGTTTATCTCTGGCCATTGCATATTTCACATTAGGAATTCATGAAAGGGCTTTGCCATTATCAAAATCCAATAATTTAAATCCTAGGTGGACATAGATGAGCCTCAAATTTCTGATATTAACTATTGATGTGAGTCCATTTTGCCTTATGGTTAAAATTATATTACGGAAATGTTAAGCATCTTTTCAATCAAGAATATTAACTGGTCATTTGTAAATATATTTTAAATATTGTTTACTGTTTTCTGAAGAGAATACATAAGTTCCAGTATTACTGTATTTTGCCGCGTATAATGCACTCCTGTGAATGCGCATCCTTATTTTTTTGCACATTACACACAGGATTATCATACCCATGGTATGTAATCATTATACCCATGGATAATGCGCATCCTTATTTTTCCCTAAAAAACTTGAGACAAAAAAGTGTGCATTATACATGGCAAAATGCAGGTATAATACATGCCCTGTTTTCTTACACTTGCATCTATAAAACATTTCCAGGCTTTTGAGTGGCCAGCAGTACCAGAGATATCCTGAGATAACTGTAAACAATTTTATTTTCCATTAGTCTGGTTTATGAAGCAAGTCTTAAAGTTTTCTAAGTTCTTTACCACTTCACTCCCTTGGATTTGTTATATATGTTTAAAACACATATATCCAATTCTTAAAAATAAAAAAATCTGATTGATCGGAGGATCACCACTGTGCCTAAAAGAAAGTCCACAATTTGTATCTGCTCAGCTGCTCCTGCAGAAATGTCAAATACTAAATCTGTCTTCAGAGTTCAAGACATCTGTGATATTACCACATAAACCTCTGAGTCTCCTGGCTATTTGGCCACTGAAAAGTCTTGTTCAGAAAGATATAAAATGTTAGGAAATTAACAACTGCATAGCAACCCAGTTCACAAACAAGTCTAGATATGGGTGGCAGAGGTATGTTAAGCCTATAAATAACATAAGGTAAAATAAAGTAACGAAATTCTAGCAGTTTCTGAGGTACTGTAACAGTAAATAAGCATATGAAAAACATTAAGTTCCAGAAAACTGACTTTGATTTCAATGAGTCAGCTATACTCCAACCAGCAAATATATAGAATGGAACTAACAAATATTTCATAATTTCATATCTTTGAAAAACTCTTTTCCACACATAGAATGTATAATGTCTATTATCTGCTAATAAGTACTTATGAGCATAAGTGAATTTCCAAACTAAAAATATAGAGACTGAAGTAAGCAGAAAAAACTGAATTCTACGTTTCCAAACTAAGCAAAGAAAAGCTTTCATTTTGCTAGGAGACAGCAGATGAGGAAAGGAAAAAAACAGAGTGAAAGAGAAAAAGTAGAATAGCTGAGGAAAATGGAGACAGGCTTCGTGGCTGCTCCGATCGCCAACGACAATCCCCCCATTAACTACAACAAAAACACAGAACAGAAACATTAGAAGGATGTATGGCCAGGTCAAAAGGAAAAGCATACTCAAGTTCTTAAAAGACATGGAATAAATCAAAAGAAACTGAAGAATTTTCCTGAATTCTGAAAATGGTCCTTTAATAAGAGGAAGCCTCTCTTCCTTCTTCTTTTGTAGCTCAGTTTTCCAAGCTTCAGTTAACTTTTGTGCAATGATGTTTCCTGCGCAGAACACTGCCCAGACAATATTTGTTTGACGAAACATGAAGCCACAAAATCCAAGCAGGGCTGATGTTTTATGATTTCCATAAAGACACATCAAATAGGCAAAAAGAGTAAAAAACATGGATCCTGCTTCTGTGTAATAAAGGAAGTTAAAAAAATAGAGTGTAGGAAATACTGCTAAGGTTAATGTTGACAAGATCCTCTGTATACTTGAGCCAGCCTAGGAGGAAAGAAATCACAGTTAGCATTTTTTTCATGATAAAACAAATATGCTTTTCCTGTTGAGCTAATGAAGAGACTCCTTAAAAAAAAAAGAAAAACCTACATGATTCCTATTCAAATAAAATTATTCAATATTAATTTTATTTCTGGCTTTGCAAAAACACAATACATATTTATAAGAACACTCTGGCACTTTCTAGGTACACCTATCAGCTGCAAAGCCACTAAAACAATAAATGAGGATGCCAACACTTCTATGGCCTAAAATACTTTGAATCATCCCACAACAGTTAAGGAGTTATTGTGTACAAGACATTGAACTGAATTCTATGTGGAACATGGAGAGACGAAATGAGATACAACACAGGTAGTCCTACTTCTTCAGGCTAACGTCTTAGTGCCTTCAATAAGCATTCACTTAGCCAACACCACCAATTTCTTTGATGGATATCTCTTGAAAACTCTGCACTGGAGAATGTAAATATGTATATAGCATGCATACCACCATATCCAATGATCTTACTAATTCATGAAATTACAGGTATTTTCTTGAAAATACTGGGTTCAATTTAAAGTTAAATATCTTTTCTTAGCCTTTCTCACATACCATTTCAGAATTTGAAAGTGTTCTCACTTCCCTGAATTGTAGCCTTCATTTACTCTAAATCACAAAATCAAATCATGCCAATGCCTTGATTAAAATGAAGGGCTGTCTATCACCTATTAAACTTCTACACATTTGAAGATGTTCGTGACTTCACTCCCGCCTACTTCTCCAGCCTCACATCTCTATACTGTTAGAATCCTCTAATTCCAAACACCAATTCCCTGCATCTACTGCTCAAACTTTCTTCTTGTGCCTATGCTTCTCCTGCCAGGATCCATTCCCACCCTGAAGCCCTATCTGTTCATCAAGATTCAGGTCGGGTACCGCCTTCTCCGCGAAGCCTCGCCCACTGCCGCCCGCGCCCCCCGCTCCCAGGCAGGCTGCCGGGAGTGCTGCGCTCCTTCTCTGCCCCCGCACAGCGTATTGTGCCTATCTCCCTCTCCTGATTTACGCTACTGAAATAATCTCTTTAAGTTAAACATAATTACAATATTATAATTAATACTTATTGAGTCCTTACTAAACTACTACATCAGGCACTAGTCTAAGCACCTTCCATCATTAATCTCCTTTACTGTTCGTAACAGCCCTCTGGGGTAGACTCTATATTATTCCCATTTAACAGGTGAAGACACAGAGTGACTGAGGGGTCATCTGCCTGAAGGAAGATAATTAGTAAGTGGAAAGAATTCAAATCAAGGCAATTAACCTCCAGAGCCTGCATTAAGTCGTATAAAAATCCCTCAGTTAAAGTCTGTTTCCACTATGAAAATGTAACTTTCTTAAAAAAAAAAAAAGAAAAAAAGGTTGCCTCATTTACATCTATAGTTGCAATGCTTAACTTATGGAGTTAGGTCAGTAAATATGAATTGAATGGGTCTGATCCCTGAACAAACACTTTCTTTAGATTTTATAAATAAAAGTTATTCAAGCATTTAGATATAAATTTCTTCTAAAATGGGGTGGGGGATCTTGTTTTATCTTTACACAACATACACAAAACTAAGTGTTAAAGACATTTCATTATAAAGACATTAAAGAAGTGTCATAAAATCAATTTATCATAATTGTGGGCCTAACGGCACATAAACTTATAAGTTATTTTGAAAACATACCTTGTGTCTGGGTTGTACCTTGCGAAAAAGCAAATACAGTAAATAGAAGTTGCCAACACTGAAAAGAAGATTCACAAATCTGAGCATTCCGATGGAGCAGACAACGTGTTCCGACCATCCAAAGATCCAGCCGGCAGGTTTGACCACTCCCACTGAGAGCAGGTATAAGCCAGGCAACGTGGTAATCATGGGGTCCCACTTAAAAATGAAAGGCTGACAATGAAGCAACAGCAAGGACTGGCACAAAGATGTCAAGCTCAAAAACATCTTTACCAACACTCAGGCATGTTTATTCTGGGACACAAATAAATCCTCAGCAGATCAGATGTCACCTCTAAGGAAAAGTTTTGCTTATAGTTCTTGCTTTGTGATTGTTAAGGTATCACCACAGAGTGGACAACAACTTAAAATCAGTTTCTATCCTTCTGAAAGCCTACTCTTCTGAAAGCTTGTACGTTGGCGATCAAATCGCAAATGCTCCCATTTTAAAAAGTGTGGAAACATCAGCTGGAACTCTGGTGAGTTTGGAGAGAAAGGAGTGTTTAAAAGATGAACCCATCAGCTCCATAATGAAAGGTAACATGTACTGAGCCAGGAAGTAACACCAAACCCTCTGCATTTAATCCTGCAACATGCCCTAGAATAGATACTTTTTTTTTTTGTCATTTTTATATGAGTAACCTGAAACTCAGAAATTTCAATGTCAAATAACTAGTCGATAAACTTTGAGATTTAAAATCAAGTTTTTGTCTAACTAGACTTCATATTTCTCACCACTACTCTACACTGCCTCACCAGAAGAGAGAAAACAATATGCCTACAGTTAGTCCTCACTTAACATCTGTGACAGGTTCTGCGACCTAAGTGAAACATCTAACGAAACCAATTTTACCACAAGAGTTAAGTTCCTACCACATCTCATCAAGGTTATAAGGAAAGTACTTGAACAAAGGAAGTTACTCCAGTGCCTGTTGTAATTGTTCTTTATCTCTTTACATAGTCAAACATGATGCCACTCCACTAGTTGCCACTTTATCCAGTTAACAAGAGGGTCCCAAAAACACTAAGGATGGAATTATGATAACTTGTCACTTCTTGGTGGCTGATGATATCCCCTCCTCACTCTATCGCATCCCCAAAACACAGTGAGGTGCCTGACAGATGATCTAAAGTGAAGTTTTCTGCTATTTCCCAGGAGCAGCCCACGGCCTCACACAGGGGTAGCGGAAGAAAAACTGAGGTAACTATGATCGGCTGCCATGAAAAGGGGCAGTAACTCAGCTCCCTAATGGCATAACATTACTTCCTAGGCGATCGATCTGCATTTTATTCATTCACTTAAACATTTCACAGATCTCAGAGACAGGAATAAAAGATTACCCAGTTCCGTTAAAGGCTTTAAGGCTGGGAGGGTAGAGCAAAGCGAACTAAACATAAGGCTGGGGGAACTAGTTCTGGGGCTGTTCTGGGCTTGTCTCAGGGTGGGGACAGGGTGGGGACCCCACCTGCGAGAGGGAGAAGTGGCCCTCACAGTAGCGCTGCGCCTGCGGCAGGTGAAAGATCTCGTCCATGTAGGGCTCTCGGAGCGCCCGGCTGAAGGCGGAGAAGAGGAGACAGGACACTAAAAAGGTACAGCTCAGAGCAGCCGAGAAGTAGTAACCCTCCAACTGCGCCATTCCTGCCCCCATAGCCGCTGCCCAAGAACCCAGTCCTGGAAAATCTGCCAGATTCTAGAGTCTGCTAAGCCGAGATTTAAACTTGGGCTCGAAATGGGCGCGCAAGGCGGGACTGGCCGGACTCGACTGAACATAGCCGGAAGGCAAAGGACGCTGGGAGAGAGCGGACGCTGAATTTCCGGAAACATCAGTTCACTGTTTCCGGAGTGACGAATTTAGGTAACGGACCGGGCTGTTGCCCTGTCAATCAGGTGCACCGGGGCTCACTGAGTGGTCAGAGCCTCCGAGGGGCGGGCCTCAGAGTCTGCCGGCGTGGGAGAATAGCGGCATCCTGCTTTGAAAAGCAAGAAACTGCTCATCCTGGAAGTTGGTCAGCTTTTTTTCCTGCTTGTTCCCCATCTCCTAACCAGGAGGTGGCGTCATTTTCCTACGTTTGCAGTCCCAAGCTATTAAAAATTTGCACATGCCCCCTCGCCACCGCTCCCCGACCCCAAGTTATTTCTGTATTTTCTTAAATGATGTGAATTACGAAAACCTGCGATTCCAAGGCATTTGATTTCATCAACTCTGGAGGGTGAGAGGGGAGCGTTGGTTGTGGAAGCTCATCTGAAGGCCTGGAGAGACTATTCACTGCTAATGAACTAATTAGAGGATTGTTTAAAAGAGATGCATTTCAATATGTCGATACTCTCAAAGGTGATTAGTTAAATCAGCATTCATAGTACACCCTGACAGCCAGATCACAGTACTCTATGGGAGCTGGGGAAAGCAATTATTTTTGAATTTGGGATGTTTTCCATAAGGCTGACTTTTTTTGTGCCTGTGATTGTTCTTGTTAATCTGTATATTAAAGCATTCCGTTTTTCCTACTAAATAATAAGTGGAAGCATCCTCATGGGTGGCATTATGTGTGACTTATATTTGTAGCCCCCAAAATGGCTTTCACAGTTTATGCAGTTAAATCTGTAGGTTTTTACAGACTATATGGACTTCACATATTCCTTGTATTGGGACTTGGGGACAGGAGGTGAAAGTATTTGAAGAATGGTGACGATAAAATGTCTTAGAATATTGCCTTGAGCATAGTTGGCAATATTTTGTAGGAAAATGATCTCATGGGTAACCTCAGTCAGGTTGTGTTTGTTAAGAATACACCAAAAAGGAGTCAGGATTTGTTTAGAGTTGCAAACCTCAGCTCTTTCTCTTAGTCAAAGCTAATTCAGACTCTCCTAATTTAGGCAAGTTTGTCAAATTAAATTGATTCCCTCTCTATTCAGTCTCTGTTATTGCCTAATTAGCAAGAGGGGTAAGAGGTGAATAAGGGATGGGACAGGAATTTATTAAAGCCATTGGAATAAAATCAGGTCAGGATCCTACTTTGATGTCTTAGCTTTGTTTTCCTTATTAGCTCCTATTTTATCAAGAACATGCTACCTGCTTCTGTTTGAGATTATGTCCCCATGATCCAATCTTCAAGAGGTTGATATGATCTGTAAGTAGTTGGCCTCAGATCCTATGACTTGCTCAGTTGTGATATACTTACTGGGGGGCAGAGGATATCTTTTTCTTCTACCGTTTTAAATTTTCAACTGGGAGCTCTGTAACAAAGACCGATCAACAAAAGAAAGGTATACAAATTAGTGTAAATTTTATCTGACTCTAAAGCCTTTGTAAGGAAATAAGGAACCCCAGAAACGCTTAAACCTAAGTGTTTTCATGCTTGGCTTTATGAAGATTGGAAAGTTGTGGAAGGATATGCTAGGACAAAGGGTAAAACTTAAGTGCTGTAACCTGGAGGAAACTTAGCAAGACCTGTTTATTCATATTCCTCTTTATCCTGTTAACTTTGAAAATCAGGATGCTTCTTTCCTCTGGGTGTAGGAAGGGCACCTTCCAAATGAAGATTTTCATGACCTGCTCCAGGGAAAGACCAGAAATCCCTTCCTGCACATTCCATTTTTCGAGTTCTTTTAGTTTTGAAATATTTGATATGCCAAAGTGCAGCATTTTGGGCTAGCATGTCCTGAACATTATCCCTAACCCCCACCCCATAATACTCTGCAGCTTACTGGGCCTCCCTGGCCTCTTACTGGCCTAGAAATACTGGGCATTTTTTGAAAGTAGTAGAACAGGGTCAGACATTTCTGCTACACACTTCTGTCCATAATAATTGCCACCAATAGCTTACTTAAACATCCATCCTCTGTACATCATGACCCATTTAGAGAGTTTTGAGGAAAGTTTCTCAGAAACTTTGGAGGAAAGTTTGAAGGACAAAAGTTTCAAGGAAAAGGGGTTTTAGGATTGTGAGAGATCTTTGTTACTAATCTACTTGATTTTATTTTTCAGAAGAATCTGAAATTAAAGTGTTTTACCTGAAATCACATAGGAAATTAGGGGCAGAGCCAACGGTAAAAATTAGAATATCAGACCAAGAGTAATAAAATAATCCTATAACCTTATGGTTTAAAATAATCTTCCATTTATACTGAACTGAATGTTTCATTAGTCCCAATAACCTTATATTAACATTCTATGCCTTTATGTTTCCATCCACCAAAGTGAAAATACAAGTTTCTTTTTTTTTTTTAAATGTCCATATTCAGAATAATTGTATCAAGATCTTCTGGGGAACTTTGTAAAAATGTAGATGCCAGAAAATCATCTCAAACAACTGATAAATAATCTTCAGATTTGGAAACCATCAGTACAAAATATATCACCTTAGGATGCTAAGAAATTGTACCAGCCCAAAAGAAGTCTTCACAGAATACCCCCCACCCACCCACCCCTGCAGTTTGTTGGCGAACTACTTTTACTATACACAAATTGGTAAAGATGTTTTCACTTGTCCACTTTGGGATTGCCACATCTCCAATAACCTAAAAATACCTTCCAAGGTCTGCTACTAAATCAAGACTTCACAATAAAATAACAATCTCTAAGGATTTTGACAAAGAAAGTTGTATTTTATTAGGCTTATCTTTTAAAACTAGATCATCATTAATCTTCACCTTATATGTTCCGTTAAGGATTTCAACCCCAATTTTCCATAGATGTTAATTTTGCGGAAAAAGTTTATTACTAAGATGGGCAATTTTATTATCATTGAACATCAATTAAGTTCTCTTTTTGTGCTGTCTACTTGAATTATGATACATATAAAAAGTTATGGCAAAATGAGCAATCTATTGAAGTTCTAAGGATAGATAGTGTGCACAAGAAATAAATCTTTCTTGGTTTAAACTATTAAGGATTTGCATTTAAAATTTTATATTTCAATTACAGCTTACATTCAATATTATTTTGTATTAGCTGCAGTACAGTACAGTGGTAAATGTACTTTACAAAGTGCCCCCGCCGATGTTTCCAGTACCCACCTGGCACCATACATAGTTATAGCAATATTGTTGATTATATTCCCTATGCCGTACTTTACAGCCTCATGACTATCCTGTAATTAACAATTTGAACTTAATCCTCTCACCTTCTTTGCCCTTTCAACCCCCCTGCCCTCTGGCAATAGTCAGTCTGTTCTCTGTGTCTATAAGTCTGTTTCAGTTTTGTTTGCTGATTTATTTTCTTCTTTAAATTCCACATATAAGTGAAATCATATGGTATTTGTCTCCTAACTGACTTATAGATCCATCCACACTATTGCAAATGCTAGGATTTTATTCTTTTTTATTATTTGAGTAATATTCCATCATATATGTGTACCATCACTTTTTCATCCACTCATCTGTTTATGGGCCCTTGGGTTGCTTCCATATTTGGCTATTGTAAATAATGCTGCAATGAACATAGGAGATGCATGTATTCTTTAGAATTAGTGCTTTGTGTTTCTTTGAATATATACCCAGACGTGGAAATGCTGAGTCATAAGGCAGTTTCATTTTAAATTGTTCGAGGACTGTCCATTTTGTTGATGATTTCCTTTCTTATGGAAAAACTTCAGTTTGATGTAGTCCCACTTGTTAATTTTTTTCTTTTGTTTCCCTTGCCCAAGTAGATATCTCAGAAAAGTATTTCTAAGAGAAATTTCAGAGATTTTACTGTCTGTGTTTTCATCTAGGATTTTTATGGTTTCAAGTCTTACACTCAAGTCTTCAATCAATTTTGAGTTTATTCTTGTATATGGTGTAAGAGGTGGTCCAGTTTCATTTTTTTTGCATGAATTTATCCAATTTTCCCAACACCATTTGTTGAATAGATTATCTCATTACCCCATTGTATGTTCTTCCGTTGTTTGCCAAATATTAATTGCCTATATGATGTGGGCTTATTTCTGGTCTCTGTATTCTGTTTCATTGATCTATATGACTGCTTTTATGCTGATATCACACTGCTTTAACTATTGTAGCCTGTAGTACAGTTTGATATCAGGCAGCATGATAGCTCCTAATTTGTTCTTTTTTCTCAAGACTGCTGTGGCCATTTGGGATCTTTTGTGGTTCCATATAAATGTTTGGAATATTTTTTCTAGTTCTGTGCAATATGCCATTGGTATTTTGATAGGAATTGCATTGAATCTATAGATTGCTTTGGATGGTATGGACATTTTAATGATGTTAATTCTTCCCATTCATAAGCACAATACATGCTTTCATTTATTTGTATTTTCCTCAGTTTCTTCCCTCAGTTTCTTATAATTTTCTGAGTGCAAGTCTTTTACCTACTAGATTAAATTTATTATTAAATATTTTTGAAGCCATGGTAAATGGCATTATTTTTTTAGTTTCTCCCTCCCTCCTTCCCTCCCTTCCTTCCATTTCTTCCTTCCTTCCTTCCTTCCTTCCTTGCCTCCTACTCACTTCCTTCCTCCCTCCCTTCCTTCCTTTTCTTCCCTCTTCCTTCCTTCCTCTTCTTCCCCCTTCCTTCTTTCCTTCTTTCCTTCCTTCCTTCCCTCCTTTTCTTTCTTTCTTTTTCTTTCCTTCCTTCCTTCCTTCCTTCCTTCCTTCCTTCCTTCCTTCCTTCCTTCCATACCCCCCCCCAAGTCAGTTCTCCTACCATCACTATTTACCCCACTTTCTACTCCTCCAATGCCCTTCCCCTCTGGTGATCACCATACTGTTGTCTATGTCTACGATGGTTTTTCTTTGTTTAATCACTTAACCTTTTTCACCAGCCCCCAAACCCGTCTCCC